CTTGCCAAAATCACAACTTAGTGCCTCAAATTTGGCTGGAGGTGGATTTCAACTTTGTTTTTGTCTACTTCAGACTTAAATGGCAAAAAGCCTGGCTCGACAAAAGGACTGACTCTGGCCTGTTATTAAAAGAAACACCTCCCCCAGCCCAGGGAAGTGTTATGCAAAATGAGGAGTTTGGTTAGAAGCACTAGCCTTCTATGTAAGGCTGTGGTCGTTCTCCTTGCTGTTGTGTAGGAAACTTCACCTTGGGCACTTCTTAAGGCATGGTGTGAAAAATGAAGGCCCTATGAATCTGAGTCCTTTGTATGTTCCTTTTCTGGAGTGGAATTTCTTTTTCTGAGGGTCTTCTGGTCCTGAAACATCCAGCCCTTAAGAATTACCCATTTGAAAAACAGATTGGGGTAGAAAAACCTGCAAATTCTCAAGACAAAATTCCATCCAACTTTTTTTGGTCTTCTCAGCATCTAGTATGATACAAAGGGCTGCACTGCTTTGCTTAGTAGCTTTCACTAAAGATTTGTGTTGAACTGGGTTTTGTAGCTAGCATTGCTGTGCTGAGCTGGCTGTTGAATAAAATTATTGATTTCAGGGGATTCCTTCCTGAGTAGCATTATAGATGCTGATGGGATACTTATGCTGTCTTATGGGTGATTTGGAAGGTAAGCTGAAAGCAAATTTCAGGCTTCATCTGATCTGCTTGGTGAAAATTTGGGTTAATTAATCTGATGCTAAAATAACAATCAAAAGGCTGTCCTGCTAGCATGCTTCTACTGAGATACAAGAGTTAAACACTTTGCCTCTGCTATAGAGGAGAATAAGCACAGTATTATTGTATTATCCTGCTGCATGGGCTCTATGTAATAAATGCAAGCGGTTATCTACAGATCACTTTTGCAAGCTTATTTCTTCTATGAGTTCATGTTTGGCAGCCATTAATTCCTCAAGTGCACAAAATTCTGCTTAAACCTCTCCTTTGCATTCATTTGGTCTTATTCCACTCAAGAGAAATTTATGCAGCTCTGCTGCTCACCAGGTTAAAATTTGAAGAGATTTAGGAAAGTGGCTAGGACTAACATTATTCAGGTAACCATTTTAATTACTATCTACCATAGCTGGGGTGGGATACAGAGAAGATGCCCAAAATATTTGATGAAAATATTTTGATTGTCAGGTATGATTTTTTTCTGCTTTAAAGCAAGTTTAAACATTCAAAGCCTGAAAGAGATGAATCAGTTATAGTGGGGGGAGGGAAGTCTCAGGAACAAAATATATTCATTTGGAAAGCTAAATCTCTCCTCAAAAAAAATGCTTAAAACCAGAGCCCAGTTTGAATCTGATTTCACATGCAATTCTGCTCAGGCTGGTGTTTCCACCAGGCATGTGAAGAAACTGCAGCGGGGTTGGAGCAGTCAGTATGGGATGTTTTCAGGTCCTCTCACATGCTGATAGAGACTTGTTTTACTCCCTGGTCCTGTCAAGCTTTCTTTGCCTAATTTTTGCCTGTGCAGTGTAAAAACCCCGCAAGTGTCATCACAAATGGCACCCATCCAACAAACATACTGTGGATGATGCAGACACTGGTAGGGCTAAAAGGCCATGGCGCCAAAGTGTTGGCTCGCTGCTGATGTGTCAAATATCACAAGGCAAAAGGCTTTGTCTCTCTTCTGTCATCCTGATTTATTAGACGTTAAGAAAGACAAAGTACCCAGACATACAAACATCGCTGTTTTGGGAAGGTCTGTGAAATAGTTAATGCGCTTGTTCCACACAAAAATGTAAAGTGTCGGTTCTCTGATTACCTGCTGCTGGAAAGTGTTTGGACAGGTGCTGTGTTTCACCAGCCGTCTGTCACCGCTGACAGCTCGGATTTATGGCTGTGCACCGGGGCCGGCCGTCCCCCTTGGCCGAGTCCGCCCGAGTCCCGGGCGGGGGCGGCGGGCCGGTGCCTCTGCCCGCCCGGCGGGGCTGCTGCGGTGCCTCTGCCGTGTGCGCGGGGCGACCGGACAGCACCGGCACAGCGGCTTTTTCCTCGGAAGCAAAGCAGCCGGCGTGCTCTGAGAAGTAGCGCCAATGGGACAATTTCCACCCAAATGTCAACAGGGCGAAATTCGTCTCTTGCTTCCTCTTAGGAGGATGATGCTCAAGCAGGAGCGGGGAGAGGAGAGCCTCCCTACCCTTCAGCAAGCGAAAGCCGCACAGCCCCGCCGCCGAGCGGGCTCCGGACAGCAGGCGATACCCGCCCCCTGCTCCCATCGCCCCGCACCGGGGACCACTTTAAACCCTTATCTCGACCCTCTGAGGAAATCCAAACAGGGGCTAAGAAAGGACCGCGAGGACACGGATATCCCTGCTATGTACTGTCTGACATATGTTTCTCGACATATCAAAAAATGGAGTTTCATATAAGATAAATACAGAATAGAATACTTATTAACAAGGGCTATATAGAACTCTGCGGGCTTCCTTTTTTTTTTTTTTTTTTTTTTTTTTTTTGTTTTTTTTTTTTTAGTAAAAAACTCATGTCATCCTGTTAAGTACACCTTTACNTTTTTTTTTTTTTTTTCTTTCTTTTGTTGTTATTTTTTCGTAAGTAAAAAACTCATGTCATCCTGTTAAGTACACCTTTACACACAATTCATCCCTATTCACGCTTAAATACATCAGATTAAAATACATGCTTGTGGCTATAACAACAATTTCCCTTTTCCATCAAGATACCATGAACTATGACCTTTACAGATGGACAAAAGCAAAAGATCCTAGGAGTTGCGTGCTAACAGGTCATATGGACTCCTATAAAAAAAAAGATGGTAAAATACAAGCCAGAGGAAAGAGCAGATTATGGAAGGGTAGATTAATATTTGCACAGAGCCTTGAAGGCAGAATGATAGTGAAGTAGTGTGTGTGTATGTGTGCGTGCGTGCGCGTGTGTACATAAAAACCAATTCCTTCAAGGGTTGGATTACTTCATACATTAGTCACTAATCTCTCGCAATGTTCTGATGGATGTTATGGTCTGAGCTTAACACACCGTGAAATCTGTTTGAGCTGTATTAAAACGAGTCGGTGTTTTCGGCCGCAGATTGTTCTGTTTGAAGCTTTCCTTTCACAACACACCCCTGCTATTCGGAATAATTTCTGCGAGTAGGGTAGAAGCTAGTCAGCCACTGAATCTCGGCGCTGAGGGAAATAGAGGTGGGAGAGAAACTCCAAGGTCCGAAATAGGTGTAATTAAAAATTCTCTTTGACATCGTTTTTTTAGTGCATACAGAGGACTTGGAGGGGAAAAAAACCCGCCGTTTTTCATACTTTTAAAAGTATTAATTAAAACAAACAACCGAACAAACGAACCTCGAATGATCATTTCAGCATTTCTATAAACCCTTCGAGTTCGGGGACGACAATGATTTGTAATTCAGCAGCACAAGCAGCTAGCCCTCCCAACCTTTCCTTTTTCCGACTTAGCCTTTCTGAGGCTTTGCTGGTCACTTCTGACAATACAAATCAGCCTTAACATAACGCCCGTCGGGAGAAGGCAACGCGTGCGAACTTTTTATTACCAGCAGATACTCCCCAGCTTTCATCCGCTGCGGATTCGCCCGCTCTAAGTGCCACCGGGCATGTCTCTACCAGAAGCAGCCAGAGCCCGGTAGTGCCAAAGACCTTCCTGAAGTGAATTTTCCTTGGACCGAGAGATGACAACAGGATTACATTTCGCCTGCTTTCCTTCGTGGGAAAAACAATAACAGCAGCAACAACAACAATAAAAACGCAAAAACCACCAAAAAAACCAACCAACCAACCAAAACACACACACACACAAAAAAACCAACCAAACAAAAAAACACCAAAAAACCCAAAAAGGTGGGGTAGGAAAAATAAAAAAAGGCAGGCAGATGTCCAGGATTTTCACAGGCTTCCCCTACGTCAGGGGGTTTGCCTTCAAATCTCTCCGCCTGCAAATCGACAGCATTTCTGCAGGTATGAGTCCCGGAGAAAAATTCTGATTTGACTCGAGGAATTGCAGAGGACTTTCATACCTGGCGGCAGCCCAAGAGCAGAACCTCTCATCTCCCGTGACTAAAATAAGGCGGGTCCATAGGTAACACCTCTACCCGCCGGCAGGGATGGGGTTGAAAGGGCGGGCAGCCCTGCTGCCCCCCGCGGCCCTAGCCAAGATTCTCGGTCAAGGTTGTCCCACGGCAAGCTTCCCTCCCTCACGCCAGTACAGACATCACGCTCTTCTCCTTATAACCGCCTTTATTTAAGGGGCAGCTTTTATTCGGGGGAAAGGAGAAAGGAAAAAAAAAACCCGGAAAAACATGGTGGCCGAGCGTCAATAAAATGCACACTCACATATATTACATACAAACACAAAAATAGAATGCGGAAAAAATGTCTCTTTTCTTTCCAGTAGCAATGGTCTTGGCCATAAATTTAGAACGCCAGCCAGTACAGGAGACAACGCCTGACATTTCCTTGAGCCCTTTCCCCTCTCCCGCCCCCTCCAATAATTAATTTAAAAAAGCTGCACTCTCTTCGTGTTATAAATAATTTAATATCCTCCCTTCCCAGGAAAAGCTAGTTGCCGGACAGGAGAAAAGGTTTCTTTTGGCACAGTGATGCATTGCTTTGCAGTACAGACCTACGGCTCCACAGCAGACCCCTGCCCCTTCCCCTCCTCTCTCCCTGCTCTTCCCGGCCCCCTCCCTCCTCCCCGCCCTCCCAAGCGCACAGCGCATCCCCCAGCGGCCGCCACCGCGCCCCTCCGCGGGGCACCCCCGCTCTGCTGCCCCAGGCTTCGGTAGCAGGAGATGTGGGGACAAGAGAGGGGCATACAAAGAGATGGCGAGGGACTAGCTTAAGTCAAGTAGTCTCAATGAACAGTAAGAAGCACTTGAGGCTCATGGCTATGTCCAAACCGACAGTTGTTTGATTTTTTTTTTCTTTTTTTTTTTTTTTTTTTTTTTTTTTTTTTTCTTTTTTTCTTCTTTTTTTTTTGGCTTAAGTTAAACCCACTGTCATTTCACTAAGGCACAGTCACCGAGGCTTTTGCTTGGAGGCTGTGGTCGCCTCTGGAGTTAAAGTGCGGGATCCAGAGCCTCCTCCTTTCCCCCTCCACGCCTCCCCGGGCAGGTCCCTCGCAGGGGAGGAGGGGGGCTCCATTAAGCCAGCGGGGTCTCCACGGCGTACGGCTGGAACGAGGCCGAGCCCCCCGCCGCCGGCGGCAGCGGCCCGGTGAGCCGGAGGGGCCCGTAGAGGGGGGAGCCGGGCGGCGGCCCCCGCCCGCCCTTGGGGAGGCCGGCGTGGAACAGCGGCGCCCGCGGCCGCTCCGCCAGCGGCGGCGCCTCCCCCGGGGCCAGCGCGGGCCGCCCGCCCCCCAGCAGCAGCGGCGGCGGCGACGGCTCCCCCAGCCCGTAGGCGCAGAGCTGCAGGAGGCCCCCGCCGTAGAGCGCGGCGGCGGGCGGGGGCTGCGCGGCAGGTGCGTATGGCAGCAGCGGGTAGGGGCCGGGCAGCAGGTGCGGGGGCGCGGGCGGCGCCGGCCACAGCAGGCGGGCGTGCGGCGTCGGCGGCGGGGCGGCGCGGGGTCCTGCCGGCCGCTGCAGGAGGCTCTCGATGGCGAAGGAGCTGGAGAACTTGGCAGCGCCGCCGCCCGCCGGCCGCGCCCCGCCGCCCCCCGCCGCTGCCTCCTTGGCGCCCGGCGCGCAGTGACAGGGCGAGGAGGCGCAGCAGCACCGCGGCGAAGCGCCGGGGGACGCGGCGCCCGCTCCGGCCGCCTCCTGCGGCACTTGCGGCGGGACGCCGGCGGCGGGGCGGGCGGGCTGCGGCGGCGGGGCGGCGCGGCTGAGGCGCTTGCGGCGGCGGCGGAAGACGCCGTCGGCGAAGGTGTACTCGCTGCTGGGGTTCAGCATCCAGTAGTTGTCCTTGCCCCAGGGCCGCGCCGGGTCGCGCAGCACCTTGACGAAGCAGTCGTTGAGGGAGAGGTTGTGGCGCACCGAGTTGCGCCAGCCGGTGTAGGCGCCGCGGAAGAAGGGGAAGCGGCTCATCAGGTAGTCATTGATCTCGGCCAGGGTCAGGCGGCCGCCGGCCGAGTCGCGGATGGCCATGGCGATCAGCGCGATGTAGGAGTAGGGCGGTTTCGGCCGCCGCGTGTAGGGTTTCCCCTTGGCGCTCTCGGCAGGCGGCGGCGGAGGGGGCTGCGGCGTGGGGGGCGGCGGCGGGGGATGCCCCGGCCGCCCGGCCCCGCCGCCCGGGCTGTTGGCCGCGCAGTCACCGTCCGAGCCCAGCTCGCTCTCCGCCGGAGCCGGGGAGAGCGAGCCGCTGCCTTCCTGGTCGCTGCCGGTGCTCAGCTTGTCCTCGTAGTGCTGCGAGAACACCTCCAGCTTCATGGCGGCGGCGCCGCCTGCCCCCCCGCACCCCGCTGCTCCGCTGGGCGGGCGCGACCCCCGCCCCTCGGCACGGCCTCAAGGGAGGCGGAAGGCAGCGAGGCGACCCAGGGGCTTTCTGTCCCCTCGCCGGCTTGGACAGCTCCGCGGCAGCAGGCGAGACCGTCAGCGCACGGCAGCGGGCTCGGCGCCCGCCTCAGCCCGCCGGCCCGGGGTCGCTAGCACCACCCTTCGCGGCCGGTGGGCGCCGAGGACGGGCTGCGGTGCCCTGCCGCCCTCGGCACTGGGCGATTCCCCCGGCTTCTACCTCCTTCTTCCCCCACTGGGGCGCTCGCTCTCCTTTCGCCCCCCTTTTTGTCCTTCTCGCTCTTTACTCTCGCTGCTCCATAGGGCCGAAGGAGAGGGGCGAGGCGGTCCCCGTGGAGCCGGTGAGAGTAGAGGGCGGACGGGCGGGCGGCTGCCGGAGCCGGCACTTCTCCGTGTCCGGCCGGGTTCGGTCCTCCTCGGGGGCGCTGCCGCTGGTACCGTTCGGCGCTCCCCGGGCGCGGGGAGAAGCTCTCGAGGGCCGTCGGGGTTACTCCGCTCTCTCCGGCTTCGACCCCTTGTCAGTGCCGGGACGCCGGGCTGGCTCCTCGCTGCGAGGCGGGCAGCAGACGGGTTATTAGAGTTATTAGTGTTATTGTCATTATCTCTCCCTTCCCCTGTGGTTGTGTGTCTCTCCACCACTTTCAGACCAGCCCATTATAACGCCGGCGAGAGGCGGAGCCAGGACAAAGATCTGAAAGGATGGTGGGTGGAGAAGCAAGGTAGCAAAGGTGGGTATGCCCTAATAAGCCGTATCAGAGCCGTAATTAGCCAAGATGACAGCAAGGTCTTGTTGGAAAGTTATTTTACGAAACTTGTTTGTATTTTCTCCTGCCAGGTCCCTCCCCTTCCCGGGTATTTCGAACGAAGCCGCAGTTCGGCGCGACTAAGCAGAGCCGGCCCGCCTCCCAGGTGTAAAATGCAGAATGACTTATAGGTGGCAGAGCTGAACCTGTTACGTGCAGTGATTTATTTTAATAGCGCTGTATAAAGCAACAAGTTGTAATATGACAGCTCAACAACCTGTTGGAAAATAATACATGGCTTTGCAGTTGTGAATTCCTAATGATTTATGTAGCCTGACAAAACAGTTTTAATCCTGGTCTTCTCTTTCCTTCTGTCATAAGCACACCTGGTGCAGAGGTAGAATGGGAAGGTAGGCAATGCTTTGGAGTTTTGCTGTGAGAAAGTTAGTCAAAGCCTTAACCTCAGTTTTACATGTGCTACTGTTTCTGTAGTAGCATTGCTTAAGCTCTTCTGGTTGATGTAACCTCTCTCTTACAACTGCCACTCTCTAGTAAAACCTTTTATTGTATAGGTTTTGGATTTGGTTGGGTGTTTTTTTGTTTGTTTGGTTGGATTTTTTTTGGTTTTGTTTTGTTTTTTCTTCCCATAAAACTTGGAACAATGTGTTCTGCAATTTTACCTAGACACTCTTCTTTCTAAAAAAAATTAGTTATCCTTTTTTGGTTTTTAGGTTTAAGTTGTCAGGGTCTTGCCTTCCTTCAGAGTTTTTTTTTTTTTCTCCTTCAACATTATGCTGGATAGAACAACTCAATGAAGAAAGCTAGCTGGTATTAGCTTCTCTGAAAACTCCCTGTTCTGCTCACTGTTCAGAGTCCATTGCAAAATGCCATTTCACTTCATGTGGCAGTAGCGCTGGCGTCTGCAAAACAATAACAGAAGCATCAGCAGAAATCCTGTGTGGTGCTTATGTTTTATTTCTCATATGTATGCTTCAAATTTTGTGTCCTGGAGTAAGAGCTGGATTGCTCCATATTTTCCAAAAGCAGTCTTTTAAAGTCGGACCTTATTTTAGAATAAATACATAATGCAGAGCCACTCTGGTTAGAACTGTTCCACTGTGGTCTGGCTCTCAAGGAGTATTGGAGACAAAGATGAAAAAAGACAGGTTTAAAAGACTGAGAGGAGAAACAAACAGCTCTACTTTCTATCTTGATCTCTCTTGAATAGAATTTATGTTCCCCCACACACACCTGCATTTTGTTTCAAAGCTTTTCCATTTCTTCAGTCTGCATGGGTTTACATGGTAAATACTGAAGATTAGAGAGGTTCTTCTGTCCCTCTCTTTGCGTTCTTGACAACTTTAATAGAAATAATAGTACGCTGGATGTCTTACTCTTCTCACAAAAGCTGCACCAGTTAGGAAAAGCAGGCAATTCAGAAAGACAAAAATAAGAGGAGGGAGACCTCTCTTGGTTCACTGTTGTTGTTGTCTCCACAAAATGTAAACTGAAATCCTTCAGTTTAAGTGTTGCGTTAGCTGTAGGTGCCAATGTTTGTGTTTAAGGGTATGGGAAAAAGGTATCGTTCCTTCCAAAACTCATATTTTCTACGATGATGCCAATGGCAAGGGTAGGTTTGTTCCTCTTCCTGCTTTTGTTGTAAATAGCAGTGAAGTAGCGATGATTTGCTAGCTTGCCTTTGATGTTTATTTTATTACCGTTCCACTATTTGTGTGGAAAATGTACACATTGTCTCTTATCTTTAGTCAGAGAACTTAAAAAGTCATTCAAATGCTGTAGGTAAACACATCAGACATAACAGAAGCTTTTTCACAGCCATACTTCAAGACTAGGAGTGGATGGCAAAGCTGGTTTTGCAAGATTCAAGAGGGGACAGAAGCTTGTACTCAAAATAATACAAAGATAGCTATTAATGGGTGGGAGCAGGGAACCTTTCTAAGATCAGCACTGATTCTTGTGGTGGCTCAAGGCCCCTTTGCTATCGCTGAGCTAGTGCCTGTTGTAAACTGTCCTTTGAATTCTCTGGTGGCTCTGACCTGAGAAAATATATGAAAGGTACTTATGAAAGGTCTGTGCAGGGTTTAAATAGAGCTTTCCTGGCCTGAGTGAGAGCAATATCAAGCCCATTGCTAACACTGCCCATGAAACACAAGCAAAGTTGTAAGAAGTGGTGAAATAATCCAACTACTCCCATCTCTCACCACTGAGAGTATATGTAACCTCAAGTCTTTTCCTGCCATAGTTTTTAAAAAGGCACAGTATCGCCTTCGGTTTATAAAGATTAACACAATCATCGGAAAAACTGATTTTGTTAAGTAAACTTCACATCAAAAGCACTTTGATGTGCTGTATTATAGCAAAGCCAAACACCCCACCCCCATCACCCCAAGAAAAACCTCCAAAAACCTCTAGTGAAGCAAGGTAAAAAAAAATCTAATTCTTTGTTCTAAAATGAAATGTCTCTTCCTCTTTAGATCAGCAGAGCAGGACTTTTTTTGGTGTACAATTCCCTCTTTTCCTACCCAAAACAGTATCCAGTCAAAGACAAATGGAGAAATATGAATGATAGCTTGAAAATCACGTGATCAGCTTTGCTTCCCATTTTCTGTAGTATTTCACTCACTCAATTCAGAAATAGTCTGCCAATGGGTATTTGGAAATAAGGTTGTATAGTCCTTTGCAGTTTGCTCAAACTACCAATTACAAAAATATTCCTTACTAAATGTAGGAAAATGCTACACTGTCTGGTGGTTGTGAGTGTATTTTTAGTTGATCCAGTTATGTTGTCTCCATGGCATTTTAAACCATAGAGACATATGTTTTTTAGTTCAGCAAACATAATTCAAAGGTGTGTCTTGATATGTTTTTGGTTCAAAATTTAAAAAAAATATTCCTTCTAGTTTTTTTTTTCCACCCAATTCTTTCTTTCTTCTCTTTTCTGCCTTTTGTCTCTCCAGACCACTAACTGTTGTTTAGAGAGGGTTTCCAGGTAAGGTCATAGAAGAACAACTGTTCAAAAAATGTCTCTGTGGTGTCTGAGAAAGTCCTATAGCTAGTGGTAGGCAAGCTTTTTTGTGCACCTGAGATGTCCAGCACACCAGCTGGACAAAGTGCTCCATCATCTCTTCTCCTCCTGTGGCAAGCTGCAGGACTGCACTGCCTTGCCAGGGGCGATCAGACTGGACAATGCAATGCACTGCGTGAGAAACAATGGAGAAGTTCAAAGAGTTTGCTCTGGATGGGCTGCTCACAGCAGGAGATGTGCCTAGCATGCATAAATGAACTACAGTCTGTGAAGGCTGGCTAATTGCACTATGTATATTTTTGTAGTTGAAGGAAATCCAGCTAGAGGCTGAGGTGTAAGAAAGGAGGTTAGTGGAAATTCCTTTAGACCTTGAGAGGAAGAGTTTGATCACTGAAGCAGAATGCATGTCTGCGTGAATTCCCTCATTGGGAAAGCTTGGCACTTTTTCAGAAGAACATCCATTCCCTGTGGGTAGAGATTTTCTGGTGTTTTTGGCAAGTACTAAGAGCTGAATTTACAATGGGGAGTTCCATTTCAACTTTGTTTCATGCATTCTTTATTTTCTTGGGAGACATTACTCAGAATGAAATTTTCCCATGCTGAGAGTTTAGTATCACTTCCTCCATGTGCCCACTTCATGTTCCATAAAAAATGTCTGCATCTAAGCAATTTTTTTTTTTTTTTCTCCAGAGCCCTGGATTGTGACAGAATGGGCAGGCACAGATTTTCTCCTGTGAAGGAAGTGACATTATTGTTCTGGTTATTAATGCTTAGTACTGGAGAAAAAATTCCAGATTCTTACACCATCCTTTTCACCGACAAATCTCAGAGCTCTTCCATTTTACAGGCGACAAGGAGTGAAGGTGAGTCCTGCTGAAAATGATTTGGTAAGTCAGTTGCAATGCTGCCTGTAGAACTGAGCTCTCTGGAGCCCTTGTCCTGTGTCCACTGAGGTATCCACCACAAGGCCTCACTGGAAAGTGCTCTACTGTTTAGCAAGGACCTGTCAAAATGGAGATTACTCTGTCTTGAGACTCAGATAATTTATAGCTAATTCTCTATTTTTACTAGTGCTGTGTTAAGCCTCCAGGGCTTGAATGATGTTCCATACTGGCATAAGGTGAACTAACCTCTCTGGAGTATATTACAGTTTTGCAGTCTGAGAAATATGTGACATAAAAGAGTGCAGGGTGAGGTTAAATCAACACAGTATTTACAACATATTTTGTGATGACTTAATTTGGTAACTGTCCCCATAGGCTTTTCTCTGGCTGATTACCTGGTTTCATGTAACTGCACCACGAGAGACAAAATCCAAATGGTGATGGACGTAAGGGCTTGTGGATCTCTTCAAGGAAATTTTTCTTACAGTAATTTTTCTTAAAGTGGAAAGCAGCACATGTATTGATAACCTTGGATATAATTGTCAGGAGAGAATTGCTTGCTAAGGGGCAGGCTCCACCGCAATTAGAAGTTACGCTGTGTTGTGCTTGTTATGAAGTTATGATGCAGAAGCCATTTGGTGAAATTCTATGGCTCTCTGCCAAGCATAGTGAATGGTTTTTGCTACTGGTGCCAAACAAACTTAAAAAGAAACCATCATAGCTTGTTTTTGCTGGTGCCGGCCCAAATATCTGTTGGCATCAAACTTGGTATTGATGCCAGAGGCTTGCTGTCACTGGCCCGTGATATGAGGAAACACCAGCTGAGCTATTACAATTCAAGTCCATGCATCGATGGAGGAAAGTGAACAACCTTGTAAGAGAATTACAGCAAAATTAACCGAGGGATGAAGGACTTCGAATATGTGATGGAGACTCACTGAACTTTGCTAGCCCTTGCTGGAGTACACCTAAGCCAACTCGAACCCACACATATTTTACATGGGTAAACAGTGACTAGAGATATGAAGGATATGTTTCAATTCAACTAAGTTTAAGTACTATTTATAGCACCGTGGATCAACAAATTAATCACCTTGCCAATAATATTCCAGTTGAACAGCAATAAGTATTTAACATTCTTACTTCTGGGTTGGATTTTTGTTGTTGTTTCTTCGTTTTCAAAAAGCTATTTCTGGGTGGAATCCCATGATTTATATAAGCATTAGCCAAATATATAAATAAAAAATGGTGGAAAAACCTTTTTGATTCTTATTTTTTCCAAGACCAAGTGAAATGCATTATAATGGAGCGATTTGGGAGCAGGCTGCTGACAGTCAGACTTTGCTGTGGTAGGCAGGATTTGGCAGTACTACCCCTATATTGTACCTCTCTGGTGCATTTTCTGTCCTCCATTTGCTGTGTTCTGTTTTCCTTCTCTGCAACCTCCCTGGACAGCTCCAGAACCATTGATATCTTTGAAAATCTGGTCCGTGCTGCTGCTGCTTACTCCTGGAACAGAGACCAGAGTTATACTGAGGCTACAGCCACTGCAGCACCTCAGGTGGTGGGAGATGGGGTTTTATGTCCTGCAAACTGGTTCTAGAAACAGGGCATGTTTTCACCACCTTTCAGATGGCAGAGAAATGTAACAAAAGTTTGGGGACCTGGTCCTTCTGTTGCTGCAGATGTAATAAAGTCATTACTTTGTTGAGTTGCATGCACCGTGTATTTGATTTCCAGTTCCTAGGTGAGTTCTTAAGGGATTAGCTGAGTTTCAGTCTCTTCAGGTGTGCATAAACATCCTGCTGCCTCACACCCATGAAATTTCTTCCCTACAGATGTCAAAGTGCTTTGTGCAAAGTGTTGCTATTTTGGTTCATGGGTTTTCGATGTCTTGGTCAAACTTATATGATCTAAGATGAGAATAGGACATGGGCTTCCTAATTCCTCCACTACTGCTCTACCTACTAACCCTGTTGTTTCCCTGAACCTTTACATATACTTTAGTAGATTAATAATTAACCTCCAAGTGGGGCACTTTCAAGCAAATGTAAAATGAAACCAAACACTTGTCATGGTTTTTAGTCATACCAGATTTGCAAGTAGGGTGTGTTTAAATGATGCAGGTAGATAAAGTCTTGTTAATTTAGATTAGAGTAAAAGTCAGTACCTTATCAAAGCAAGTGACTAATTAGGAAAACTATTACCTTTTGGAAAAGAAACAGTTGAACTATCACTCAAAATTATTTTAACTAATTGAACTGTGCAACTGCTCAGGCTCGTGCAACTGCTAGGAAAGGAGAAAGACAGAGAGCTTTTCCAAGGAATTGCCAGTGTTCTGGGTTTTTTTTGATAATTTTGCTTTTAGAAAGTTAACAGTACTTGTCATCACTGTGTAAACATGGGGAAGGGAGGAGAGTCCCGTGAGTCATCAAGGAGCCAAACATACAGAATTTAAGTGAAGAACTGGAGTATTTTTATTAAATACACTGCCTTCATTCTCTTCACCTTACCAAGCCAACAGGACAGCAAAGTGCTCATGAATGGTTCAAAATGATGAAGGGAATTTCAGGTCTGTAATAACAGACATTGGGCATTTGGGAACCTGCAAGGGTGGAAACACTAGGGCAAATTCATGGTGTGAAAAGAAAGATTACGATCAGACAGTATTTATGTTCAGACAGATACATGCAATTGTGAAGAATCATTAAATAACTGTTAACCACACCTGCACAGAGCCTCTGGCAATGCTGGCTTACACAGAATCTCAAGAACTGCCATGTGCCTGACGTCATACCTTTGCAAGGAGAGAAAAGTCTTGGGTGTTAGCCCAAGACAGGTAAGTAAAACATAGTCCAGAGACTTGTGCCAGTTTAATGTCTACAAGTGACTTTCTGGTGTGTCACACCCAGTATCTTCTGCCCTGTAAACCTGTCAGTACTCCTGATTTCTTTGCTTATGACCAAGTCTTACTAAACATCTCCAAATTTGCTTGAATGCAATGGCTCCTTCCCTCTAAGTCAGTCAGGACTGTGAGGAGGAAGTATGTGTGCACAGAGGAGCCTAGCAGAAACAGGATCCTAACTTCTCCAGGATTGTAATTGCTACTGTGGCTTCTTTGGGTTTCTTTTTACATTGATCATTTTCCCTTTTAAAAATATTGGGAGGTTTTGACATTTTTTCATGATGGAAATGGCATTTTAGACCTTTTTATTTTTACTGTAAAAAATCATTTAATGGAAATGGAAAGGGGGGAGGGAATCAGGCAGGTTAAAGGTAGCCGAAGGAAAAGGAAAGGGAGTAAAGCTGAGATGAAGAGGTGAAAATGAGGAGAAAGTTGGAGTAGACAACTCCAACTGAGAACACATTGCAGAGCAGTTCCACCTAGACTGCAGAAAATTTTCAGGATGCCCAATAATCTCCAATTTGACTGCTTCTGCTAGTGTAATTTTTTGGACTGCTCACCTCTACAGCTTTCCTCAGGCTAGGGAGTTCTCTGGCTTTTTGTTTCCCATGGTGCTTTTGGAAGTGATTGTCTTTCATCTACATTTTCTCTCTTGGAGTATATTTTTCCAGTCTTTCATGGCTAGGGGTGGTTGAGGAGTGAAGGGTTTTTTTTTTGTGGTTGATTTTGGTTTTGTTTTGTTTTACACTGAATAAAAATAAATTAAAAAAAACAAAAGTGAAGGTTGAACATCAGTATGTAATTCCTAAAGGGGCTGGGGTGCATCAGTTTGAAAGCTCTTTCTGCTTGCAATTTCTGTACAAAATATTTCCTATTTTTATTTTTTTTCCTAGTGAAAATCTCTAGCTACTGTTAAGAATAGGAGGTTATGAATGAGAAACAGAGCATGACTGATACACAAAGGGATTCAAAGATTTGCAGACTTCAGTATTCATATATGACAAGAGTAAGCTCTGGCACCTGACATTGATGGATCAGGCAATGGAGATATTTACTCATCACTTACGAGAGTTCTTATTCATGGTTTGATTTATTTATGCCGTAAGGGTTTGGAAGGCAGTCCGTTTTTACCTTTTCCATTGGACACGCGGTCAGTGCCAAGAAACTCAACAAGGCCCTACACAGACTAAAGATTATTTTTAAGAGTTGCCTAAGTGTTGTGGGAAAATGGCCTCCTCCAGTGATACATTAAAAACAGGTATCTCAGTAAGTAAATCCTGGTGACTTGGATAGTTTATTTTGAAGGCAGGATGTAACACCCAGTACCCTCTTACCCCTACTCTGGCCTTTTAATGTACTATCATTAAAGTTTGGCCCCATGAAGAAGATAGGTGTAGTCAGATGCAAAGGCAAACTGAATAGGTGGGGCGCTCACTCCAGTGGGCCAGCATTCAAACCTTCAAAACTTTGTCAAGACTCATGACTATTCCCAGTTGAGACTTTAATTAAATGGTGCTGGATATGAGAGTATTCTATTATACTGGCTTGTGCTGCTGAAAGAAATAGTGCTATGCTTCTTGATTGAAGAGAGAGAGTCAAGTGAATAATTCGCAACAAATAATTAGTCTAAATGTTCCTAAGTGATTCTTACAGAATCTGAGTCTGGTTGAGAAAGATCCTTATTTATTAATGCCATAGGACTCCCTTTCACAAGGGGAAAGTTTATTTATATAAGATGAATAAGTTAAAGTATGGACTTGCAAGTTCTTCTTGAGTCATCAGACCCAGAAAACATGTATTTTATATTAAGGTTAGTACAATCTTTCAAACAAAAACATTTATGAGTGTGCTTTAACTGATGGGTATATGATGACTGACATTCCAGAGCCTCTTCTGTGCACACCTACGCTGGCATACTTTTATACATGGGAGTAATCCTAATTAATTTGGGAAAATTACTCTTGTGCATGAATGCACTCATTAGTATTTGAAACACCATGGTATAGTGAGTCTTCTAGATACAATCTTGATCTTACACTTAAAGGTGCCCACAATGTCCCGTCCGGTCTTTAGGGCTACCTTAGCTCTAATGAAAACTGGCCATCACCCAGTCCTTCCCCTGAGGGCTTTAGCATGGCTAAATTATCTTCCTTACAAAGAAGTGTCCTCATCTGTGCTGTCGAGAGGGAACTGGCCTTTGTCTGTGTTATCTTCTGACCAGAGGCCTCTGTGTGGCATGAGAAAGTATGGGGTTAGAGGGACAGCCCTTGTCAGGAAGCTTGCTGCTAGTTAAATAGTGTGGACAAGCACATGCCAGCTTCTTGAGGGTATGTCCTGGCTCTTTTTAATTTGCAAGTGCAACATGTAACTTAAATTAATATTTGTGTTCATTTTATACCTTGAAGCTTTGATAAGGTATTATTGCTCCCATCTGCTCTTGACAGGAAAGAGAAGCACTGTTGTTCCCTTCAACAGTGTATTTTTGGGGGTGTATTGGCTGGCTTTCTGTCCCAGTGATGCTGAAGAATTTTGCTCAAGAACATTGCAGGGAAACAGTCTTTTTCTGCATGTTGTGAGTCTTCCTTTCCAGAGGTGAGATTTGATGCAGCCTAATTTTTTTTTTTTTTTTATAAACACAATTTCAATTTGTTACAAGGAAACTATTGGCTAAGTTATTAAAGTGTTCAAATGTTATAGCACTAGGAAGAGTGGTTTTATTTTAAACAGTAGAGAACACTGATAATTTCAAAGGCAATAAGAAAATAAAGCCAAAGAACCAAATATATAATAGTCAGTTTGAACTGAAAATTTATACCTTTAACATTTTCTAAGTACGTAGGTTCGGTTTTGCAGATAGTAGGTTCTTAGTGCTGCTGCCTGAAATTTTAAATGCCTGCACATTTTGTCACACTAGGGAATTGTTATAATCTCATCCCAAAACAGGTGAGGTGACTGTAGTATATGAAGTGATTTTCACCCTGTAGTACCTATTTCTGTTAGCTGAAAGGAAGCCTAAGACTTCCTAGGTTACCATCTGGGATGCATTACAGAGCTCTGAAAAGCATTTAAGATCGATTCCAGTTGGTCTACCTTATCTTAGGAAGCATGTAAAATGGTGGTTCTTCAGTTTTTAATGCTTGAGATACTCTGCTCATTAATTAAGATTATTTATGAAGAGATTATTTATGTAAGGTAATTGATTTTGAAAAGAAAAGCTGCTTTCATCACTAAATCAAACTTCACCCTGACGTTAAGATAGGATTTAACATACTGAGCTAGACAAAAACATTGTGTAAGGTGAGAGGGATTGCCCCTCAAAATTTATTTGCTGCTTAAAAGCTGCACACCGTGTTCCACCTCAAGCATTGCAGATATTTTCTTCCTTTACCTGACTGCCACTCACTTATAATCCTTTCTAATATGACTTGTGCAGAAGAATGTTTCCCATCAGGCTATTTTGTAACATCTTTCTAAGAAGTGCTTGAACATTAATGCTTGCTCCAGGAAAAGGTGAGTTAAGATGTGCTTCTATCTGTCCTGATAGCTGCCTTGCTTCATCAATACTAAAAAGGATGTCTTTATCGAAACTGAGTACTTTCCAAAAGTGCTCTTTCCACCATTACTGATGTGTTGCTTAACAGAGCCAGCTTAAGCTTGCCGCGCTGAGTTTTGTGTTGTTTGTGTTGCATTGGTTGGTTACCTCCTTCTGTTAACTTTCCATGCACAATTTAATTAAGCTGTGAATAATGGGATGTGTTATCAGATGGTACAGCATTATTAACTTCAGTGAAGTGTTGTGTGATGAACCAGCT